TGCCCCTCGTATTGTAGATAGTCGTAAGACCCTCGGGTAGTAGATAGTCTTATTGACCCTCGTATTGTAAAGTTTTAAATGCCCTGTGTGTAGATAGTCTCTTTGTATGATAATAAGATGTTATCTTCATTATAGTATAAAAAAATTTTTTAAAACCCTTTATATTATAATAAAAAGGTAAAAGGACCCCAAGGGAAAATAAGTCACTCTGTCTGATTTTTTTGGGGGTTACCCGGGTTTTAACATATGTGCTTGTATGAAAATTCTATGTAACTGTTTTTGTGTATCCCTGAAAATTTACTACTTCTTATTACCCCAACATTACGTATTTTTCTACAAACTTTTTTTGAATTACATCATTTTTTCTCACTTTACCAAAGGGCGGCACTAGAAGCTTTTATTGGCCCCATGGTTGCTTATTTAGCGTTAACAAAATAAACAAGTGGCAAAAAAAATGGTTATTATAAATGTTTGTATGATTGGGGATATGTTCATCGCCAAGAAAAAAAATCCCTACACTGCTGAGAATGGTGGGGGGAGGTGGCTTATCTGTGTGCTGGGCGCTGGACGGGTTTCCATACGATTGAAAAAAAAAAGAGGAAATAACGAAAACAGTATAAAAAAAGTCAACGATAACGTGGGGGAAAAAACCAAAATCGGCGATAACAGAGATCGACAAAAAGGGGGGCCATTGTAGCAGGGGAAGTAGGTTGTCTATTTTGAGGTATTTTTGTTGGTAGTCATCCAAGTAGTTTTTTTTTAAATAGTTTGTCTTTTACAGTGTTGTATATTTGGGGTTTGGGGTGAGAGAAGACTTACGTTGTGCGTCTGCAAAAATAAAAGGGGTTTTAAAGGGTTCGATGCTTTTGAGAGGTCATTGTGTAAAAAGAAAGTGGGCCAAGGACACTCCCAAGTGGAACTCAAAAAAGAACAGATTGTGTATGGATTTTAGCCCATTTGTGTATACATACTGGTTTCTTTTTTTAAAGATAAGGTTTTAAGTAATTGAGAGAGTGTCCTTGATCATAATGTTCAAGTTTTAGTGCAATAGGTCATGGTCAACTGTGTAAAATGCTTTTTGAGATTATGGAAAGTCTAGGGGAAATTTTATTTTTTTTTGAGTGGAAAAGTATTCAGCATAGTGTAAATTTCTCGTTTAGTACTTTTTTTTTTCAGTCTAAAAGCAAACTGACAGGGGTTATAAGCATGTTGTGGAAATTCTCACAAGTAGGCCTATAGTTGTTTCATATCAGGTGGATCACCTTCTTGAGGGATCAGGGTGGTACCTGAAGAGGAGGAGCACTGGTGTGCAGGCCTACTGGCCCATTTAGGCAAGTCAAGTACACTTTCTTAAAGAAGAAGAAGAAGGCATTTCTTCAGGCCCTGCTGACCTACGCTAGGCAGGTCCACCTCGCACTCACCCACATCGGGTACTTGTCTAACCTATTTTCAAAGTTACACAAGGTTTTAACTTCTTAACTACGTGGGGTGTTTGTTCCACTCATCCAAAAAAAAACCCTCTTAAATTTTACCAAAGCAGAGTTCTTTCCTATATCATTTTTTAAGCTAAATTTTTCCAACATTGAACCCATCTATTTACATGTCAGTCATTTACCCAAATTTACTAGGGAGATTTTATCATATTAAATCCTTGGACATTGTTCAACAGACTATTAACTGGTTGACAGCAACAACCTTTGCACATTCAACTCCAGGAGTCTGGAGACTACTGGTTCAACCTTCCTGTAACCGTGAGCATGTTCCTTCCATGCTGGCTGCTGAGTAAGGTTAGCATCAGTTGCTTATTAACCTTTTAAACTGTCCAATGTAGATTATTGTTTGTTCGCATAGCGCTCCGAACGTAGATCTACGTTTTTTTTACATGCTTTCAAATAGAGAAAATCAGGGTCGGAGCGCTACGCGAGTAAACGTAGATCTACATTTGGACAGTTCAAGGTTACCTCTGGAATGATGTAAATGGTTCGATGTACAGCAGGCCCTCACTTTACACCGCTTCACTTTAACAATGTTTCACTAATGTGGACATTTCAAATTCTTTCTTCTTTCAACAAACCGGCCGTATCCCACCGAGGCAGGGTGGCCGAGGCAGGGTGGCCCAAAGAGAAAAACAAAAGTTTCTCTTTTTAAATTTAGTAATTTATACAGGAGAAGGGGTTACTAGCCCCTTGCTCCCTGCATTTTAGTCGCCTCTTACAACACGCATGGCTTGCGGAGGAAGAATTTTGTTCCACTTCCCCATGGAGGACATATCAAATTATGACGAAAAATTGTTGTTACGGCTCCCCAAAGTTGTAGTATGGTCCCCAAAAATTTTTAAGTTTTAAAGTTGTATATATTATATGTAAATACAGTGGACCCCTGTTAACGAACTTTTTTCATTCCAGTGTATGTTCAGGTGCCAGTACTGACCGAATTTTTTCCCATAAGGAATTTTTGTGAAGTGGGATTAGTCAATTTCAGACCCCCAAACATACACGTACAAACCACTTACATAAATACACTTACATAATTGGTCGCATTTGGAGGTGATCGTTAACGGGGGTCCACTGTACTTTTTAATTACACTTGTGTAACTGTACTAAATAAACTTACACACTATGCTGCCGTGTAGATACACATTAAAATCACTAACAGTGTCTCCACTAGTGTTGAAAATGCAATAATAATATGTAATAGTAAGTGGTTCTTTAACCCTTTCAGGATTTCTGACGTAAATAGTACGGCTTACGCACCAGGGTTTTTGACCCTACTAGTACGCCTAAATTCTAGCGCCCCCAAATCTAGTGGGAGAAAGTGGGAGGCCTCATTGAAAGAATGGGTCTATGTGGTCAGTGTGCACAGTATAAAAAAAATCCTGCAGACACAGTGCATAAAGAAAAAAAAAAAAAAACTTTGACAGTGTTTTTTTTTTTTTAAAACAGCGACTTTGCACTGTATTTTTGTGTGGTATTTTATGATTATTCTAGTTTTCCTGGTCTCATTTTATAAAATGGAAGACATATTACAGAAATTGAGACAATTTTGACTGGTTTACAATGAAAAGTACCCTTGAAATTGAGCTCAAGGTAGCATAACTCTTCGATTTTTTCCAAAGTTCAACAGTAAAAATCGTGCTACTTGTCCATTTAACGTCATCTGATGAGTCTAATATTCTTTCACAAAGATGCTCTGATATTATTTATACCATTTCTACACATAATGCAGTAGTCTGCATAAACAGTAATTCTTCTATTTTTTGGTTGAGAATAAAAATTCAAAAGTGGAAAGCATAAGAATGTAAGAGGTGTGTGGGGATGTGACTATGCACAGAGGAAATATTATTTTAGTGCCAGGTGTCTTTCTTGTTTTTTGGACCCTATTTGGAAATTAGCATCTTTGAAATTTGTGTAAATTGGAAAATTGCTAAATTTGACCTCTGTATTGGATAGTTGAAATCTTTAAAGGGTGGTTTGTGTACTCATTCGATAGAAGATGGAGTAGTTCTAGCAAAGTAGTTATGATTTTTGTCGGCTAGTACACTGGAATTGGCTCTGAATATTGGGCTCTAAGGTGGGCAAAATTGGCGATGCGTAAACATCGTCGAGACTTCTGCTAACTTCGTGTGAGCATAATTCCGTAAGTTTTTCCATAAAAATTCATACTTTTGGTTTGTCATTATGATTGGAAAAGCTTCTCTATCTTTTCATAAGAGGAAAAATTATTTTTTTCTTTTTTTGAAAATTTGTAGACCCTGGAGAACAGTTCTGGGAGAGGGCCTGTCGACCTGAAAGGGTTTTTTAAATGTCATATGTTACATTAGTATAGACATTTTCATTAATCCATATATGATACTTTTATCAAAATTATATGAGAACACACTGCTTTCATATAAAAACATAATTATTCAACCTTAGTGTACAATAGGCATAGATATGAGATGTGGTAGCCGGGCAGCTTGTAGGAGTGATGGCAAGAACTACATTTTCTCTAGTCCAACACCAGAGGAGCTGTTTACAGTATAGTATTACCAGGGGTAACTAGGAAAATATTCCTTTCATATGCCTTCACTCGTAGAGTCATTCACTCTAAAAATGGTATGTTACATGAGACTGGGACTGTTGCTGTTATTTATTCTGCTGCATCAATGTGCGGACAACCATACCATGGGCGGGGTTAGAATCCGCGATCAGAGAGTCTCAAAGACTCTCTGATTGTAGGTTCTAACCCCGCCCATGGTATGGTTTGTTTGCAGTCGTGTCATTACGATTTCGTGAGTTGTAAAGACAAGTTTTGCACAATGTAATGGAGGGGGATCGGAACTTTCACAAAAGCATGTGAAATGAATGTGTACGAACAGAGAGTGGACAGGTCTTAATATACGTTCGTCTGACCACCCTCAGTTGTTTACATTCTCTGCGTCTCTCGTTCTCTCTCATTTACAATAATAAAAATAATCATAATAGCTGTGATAAAAAGAGGAGCTGTAAGCCTCTTACTTTAAATGGCACGTTAGAAATGATTAAACTTGGTGAATAAGGTATGTTGATCACAGTAAGCATAGTAATAATAATAATAATAATCACTATGGGGCACTTTAAATGTTGTATATTAAGTTGTTATAGACATTTTCATTATTCATATATGACATTTTTTTCAAAATTATATAACTAATGTGCTAAATACATAAATAAAATATATACATATTTACATATTTTTTTTTTTTTTTTGGACATGATACTTAGTTGTACAAAAGAACTACAGTGGTTGAGTGTACATGCCAAAAGCCCCTTTGTATTTAGAGCATTATGGCCAGGTTAAAATTAACTTCAGATTAACTAAGCAATGATATATTCAGTGGTAAAAATTACAGTAAACAAATTACAACATGAAGTACAAATGAATATTTCAAATAAGAAGCATTAAAGTTGTACAAATTTGTAGTATAACAATGTATAATATAATCGAATCAAATCGAGTAAAATCAACGATTTGTAAAATTGATAACATAATTGTGAGGTGTGGTAGCTGGGCGAGCTACCACACCTGACTTCCTACAATAAATACTACTCGCCTCTACACTACATTAAGGCTACAAATATTTTAGGGTAAGTATTGAGTATGTGCATTTTACTTTGTTATTGTGTTTTTATATCTAGTTCTAATGTAAACTTAATATATGATAGTGTAAACATGTTATGAGGCATTTTTGTGCTTTCATAAGTGAAAAAACAGTGATAACAAAAAGGCACAATACCGTGACTGGAACGATACACAAATAACCCGCACATAAAAGAGAGAAGCTTACGACGACGTTTCGGTCTGACTTGGACCATTGACAAAGTGACTTTGTCAATGGTCCAATCGACCGAAACGCTCATAAGCTTCTCTCTTTTTTGCAGGTTATTTGTGTATGAAAAAAACAGTGATTTGCTTTTTTAGGCAGTAGCCTGGAACTAACCTGCGATACAAGCGAGGCCCTCTGTAATGTGACAGGTTGAGGAGATACTTTAATTTGGCAGTGTTAGAAACCAGGTTGACCAGGCAGTCAACATGATATACCTTTGATTGGTTTCAAGAGCTTGCCTTCTCATAGGCTGACTCTGACCCAGAATGTCTGGGCCAGGGTCAGGCACTGGCTCCAGACAAGGCACTGTACCTCCCACATCTACCCCTCCTTCAGAGTGAGGCATGTACCCACTCAAACCCTCCTTCATGATTTTGGCACTTTTTACTTCCCACTCCACCCTCCTTCAGAGTGAAAGGCACTGTACTTCCCACCTCACCCCTCCTTCAAGTTGGCACTGTACTTCCACCTCACCACCCCCCTTCAGATTCAGGCATGTACTTCCCACCTCCACCCCTCCTTCAGAGTGCAGGCACTGTACTTCCCACCTCCACCCCTCCTTCAGAGTTCAGGCACTGTACTTCCCACCTCCACCCACCCCTCCTTCAGGTTCGGCACTGTACTTCCCACCTCCACCCCCCTTTCAGAGTGCAGACACTGTACTTCCCACTCCCCCTCTTCAGAGTTCGGGCACTGAAACTTCCCATTCCCCCCCTTAAAGAGTGCAGGCACTGTACTTCCACCTCCCCCTCCTTCAGAGTTTCAGGCACGTACTTCCACCTCACCCACCCTCTTCAGAGTTCAGGCATGACTTCCCACCTCCACCCCTCCTTCAGAGTGCGGGACACTGTACTTCCCCCCTCCACCCCCCCTTCAGAGTGCAGGCACCTGTTCTTCCACCTCACCCCTCCTTCAGAGTGCAGGCACTGTTTTCCCACCTCAACCCCTCCTTCAGAGTGCAGGCACTGTACTTCCCATCTCCACCCCTCCTTCAGAGTGCAGGCACTGTACTTCCCACCTCCACCCCTCCTTCAGAGTTCAGGCACTGTACTTCCCACCTCCACCCACCCCTCCTTCAGAGTTCAGGCACTGTACTTCCCACCTCCACCCCTCCTTCAGAGTGCAGACACTGTACTTCCCACCTCCACCCCTCCTTCAGAGTGCAGGCACTGTTCTTCCCACCTCCACCCCTCCTTCAGAGTGCAGGCACTGTACTTCCCACCTCCACCCCTCCTTCAGAGTTCAGGCACTGTACTTCCCACTCCACCCCTCCTTCAGAGTTCGGCACTGTACTTCCCACCTCCACCCCTCCTTCAGCATGCAGGCACTGTACTTCCCACCTCCACCCCCCCCTTCAGAGTGCAGGCACTGTACTTCCACCTCCCCCCCTCCTTCAGAGGGGCAGGCACTGTACTTCCCACCTCCCCCCCTCCTTCAG